CAAAATCACACACTCATCATCATAAAGAGGCTAGGGTTATATTCATATATATACTCTAGGGTTAGGCTTTAAGTTGGGCCATTAAAGGGATAAATGGGCCAAGATTCAAGCCATCCATAAGGAATACAATTGGGCCGGGTGTAGCTCTTGGACTTGGTTGTTGGACTTATTTCATTCATCGGCCTATGCCTATGAAATAATATTAACCCACGTTAACATCATAGCCCGGGATTTATTGGGTATCAAAAAACCCAACATATATCATGCAGTGAAAGAGAAAAGTTCTAGCTAGATGTTGACACTTATGATGTATCTTGCCGTGAAAGAGAAAAGTTCCCTGCTTTAATTTACATGTCTGCAGGTGACAGTGATGGTATGATGCTATTTGTTGAATGAGATTACGAAAATATTTGATGGTGGAAGATTTAGTGATTGGACCCTGTCAAACTAACTTGTATATAGCAAAACTAATGGCTTGTGGTGCTTAACTTTCTATATCTTTCTGCTATTTCAAATGAAGAAATCTGGAGTGGTTCGAAATTCTCAAGTATACTAGAAGTCTAAAATTAATTACTTTTTAGAATGTAAAATAGAAATATATATTCTGTTATTTTCTTAGTGGTATGACACAAGAAGTATCTACTAGATCAAGATTATTTCTTCATGCTTACTCACTAAGCCCATAACTTGTTCTGTTGCAGCTCGTCAATCATGTTCATTTCACCTGATGGGCAATGGATTGCAAGTGCCTCCTTTCACAAGTCAGTCAAGTTGTGGAATGGTATTACAGGAAAGTTTGTAGCTGCATTTCGTGGCCATGTGGGTTCCGTTTATCAAATAAGGTTAGCATTCTTCCTCTTTTATTTTTATTTATGTATTTATTTAAATTTTTTAATTTCTTATGAATTTACAGGTTTTATGGCTAATTTGCATTTTTCTTGCTACAGCTGGTCAGCAAACAGTAGGTTGCTTCTGAGTGGGAGCAAAGTTTCAACTTTAAAGGCAAGGGATCTTTGGATAATTCAACTGCTTGTCTTCATTACTTTTGGGTTCATATGTTTTCTTTGGAACTATTCATTATATGGTCAAGAATATCATTTCAGGAGTCTCTGTTGGATGTACCTTGCAAATAGGACATTTTTATGGTGAGTAAATACTCTTAATGTGATTTATCCGAACACAGAAGTTGAAACAAGACCTTCCGGGCCATGCAGACGAAGTAATGTTTCTCTTCCCTAATGCCTCTTACAACATCCCTTTCCATGGGCTTTCGTGCATATCTACTTACTCATATGTGGCCTTTTCTTATGTTCGCTTCTTTTTCCCACTTGGGGTGATGGGGGACGAGAAGCTTTAATTAAGAACTCTTCGTCTCAGGTTTTTGCAGTCGACTGGAGTCTCGATGGTGAGAAAGTAGCGTCTGGTGGCAGGGATAGAGTTATGAAGTTACTGATGGGCTATAAATTTCAGCATAGATACTGAGTGTATACCTGCTAGACGTAGTGCGTCTCGTGCTCTGCTGTGTTCAGAAATAGCTACGATGATATACCATGGTTATCAGAAATCCTAAAGAAGTGTGATGAAGAAGAAGGGATGTGTATTTATTAAAAAAAGGTTGAACCCCAAACTTGAGGGTCCCCACTGCCCCGTCCCTAGAAATTTGTGAGGGAGGCAAATCGCAGAATGTGTCTCAGCAAGTCAGGGAACAAGAGCTGCCTATACACTGTGCTTACAAGGAGTCCAATTTCATGTCTTAGGAATCGAACTCCCACACTGCGGCTGCCAGCAAGGATTGAGATAACATCACTCCTGTCCTTTGCACCACTAGACTATGCCCCGGGAGGCAGAAGGGATGTGTATTTATTGCCTTTGTGTGTGAAGGATGATAGCAAATAGCAGATCGGTTCCCAATGACTAAATTACACAAATTGTAAGTTTTATCAAATAGGCATCAATGTTTACATGAGTTCCATCTAGGCTGCCCAATGGGAAAGTGTAGTTGCATTTAACAATGTTTCATTCTTTCTTGTAGAATGAAAAGCTAGAATTTTTCATCGTAATTATATATTCTATATTGTACTAAGAAATCTCGACATCAAGGTCGTGTCATCGAAAATTGATTGTGAGCTTATTAAAATTCCTAGTTAAGATTCGAATCGAAACTTGGTTGTCCGCTTATTAAGATTCCTAGTTAAGATTCAAATTTTCCATCTTGCCATGGTTGCTAACGGACTCATTTGAAGTCGTTAGGATAGTCAAATCAGCTCTCAAACGAACCACATGTTTCATTCATTTGATTATAAACTTTTATCACATGTGAATCTGCAATCTTTTCTTCCTTAATATCTCCATATTCTTTCAATGTGATTCTATATTTGTTTGAATAAAATGCTTAGTCAATTCCACGTGTCCTATAATGAAAGATTCGACGTGGAAAATAGGGGTATTGATATATATTTTTTTAAAATACCCATATTATGGAACAAATTAAAGCACGCAGTTACCACAAGGACAGTGATAACTAAAGCATTGAACGTGCGTATTATGGAACAAATTACAGCTAATAAAGGGAGTAATGAGAAGAAAATGGTGCGATGGAAGAAACAAGAATAAAAAGGTAAATCTATTACAACTAGATATCTTATTATAATTATCTTACTTTTATCCTATTGTAAAATATACAATAGGATTGTCCAACATCAAAAAATATTAAAACTCATACTACAAATCTTATATTCAACCTAAGACCTCAAACAGAGTTTCAAAATGGTTACCAGCAAACTCATTCTGAAATTTTAGGATAATTAATGCAAATTTGACTTGAAAATGAGTTTCAATTGTTTATACAAAGCCAATGTGACAAAAAATGGGCCAACAAAAGGCAGCAATACATAGAGATTCCTAGACATCCGACATAAGCTATCCTAAATATAATGATTAAGACAATCTCTAGTATCGAATATTGGATTATATCTTCACTCTCCCTCCGTCGATCTCTTGCCGTCACTGCTTCACTGGTGGCAACCATGTACAGAGTGTCATCTATGACATTGTAAGCAGATTCTTCTATGATGGAAATAATATCGATGACAAGCAATTTAATATCATGAGCGTTATTTTATTATGAAATATCAGAATTTACCTTCTTCAGAGTAGTTGAAGCCTGTATAAGGATTATTCTATCTTACAAAGTTTTATGATATGCAATGAAAGTTAAGTACCAAAGAGACATATATATAGCCACTACCAGAACATGGAATCCTAGTCCTGGTACAATTAGGCTGTGAAACTCCTTAATCAAGGAGTTCACGCCGTTAAAGTGGCTGCTCCTTCCGATTGTGGGCAGAGCCCATTAAGGCCCAGTGAGAGCAAAAACACCAAATGGGCTGGGCATGCCCATTAATGTTTCCTAATTGGGTAGAAATCGCGGTCCGATGATCAAAATTTCTGAGTCACCGCAAAAACCATATTTTAGGAGGGTATACAATTGGGACATTTGAAAACTTTGTTGAATTTTTTTAAATGATGGCTTTTGTGGATTTTGTGAATCTTTTATAAATTTGTATGAAATTAGTGAAAGTCTTTCGTAGACTTTTATGGATTTTCATTTTAAATTTTTTATAGACTTTCATTTGAAATATAATTCATATAAATTTGGTATAAAATTCTCACATATAAGATGTTAGGGTCTGTTTGATTGCGAAGATGGAATTTAGGTGGAAAGAAAATGAATTCCAGGGAATTGAATTACCTAGAAATTGTTTTCATGGAAATTGTAAATTATTGTGTTTGATTGTATAAATTTTTCACGTGGAAAATGTTGAAGTAAAAATATTTTTTGATGTTCGTTTGACTTTGTTTTACGTGGAAATTGTCAATTTCAGGGATATCCTCTTTTACAATTATTCCTAAAATTTGTTCCCATTGCCAACAATTAAAAAAAAATAAAAAAAGCAAAAAAAATAAAAATAAAAAAAGGTGGAAAACCAAAAACCACCTATCCCCTAGGAAAAAAAAAGGTGGAAAATCACGCTTTAAGGTGTTGTACCTAGAAATTCATGGAAAATCAATTCCCTGGAAAATTTTGTCAATCAAACAGGTCAAAAGTGGAAGTTGGAATTCGAATTCCAAGTTCTATGGAAAATTTCGTGCAATCAAACGGAGCCTTAGTTCTCACAATTCCCCTTTCCTTCCCATTCTTCTTCCTATATAATAAAAAATAAATAAAAATTTAAGACTAATTAAATAAAAAATAATCAAAATTTTACATATATATGATTTAATATTATTAGTATAGTATACTTTTAAAAATAAATAAAAATCAATATATTTAAATTTAGTTATAAATTTTCATATAAGAGTGTGTTTGATTGGAATAGAAAATATCACCTAGATTAGAAAATGTTTTCCACCTTTTGTGGAAAATAAAAACCACCTCTACCCAAGGAAAATATTTTCCTTAAAAACAAGGAAAATTAGACATATTTTCAAAAGTTGGAAAATGTTTTCTATGGAAAAAAATAGCAATCAAACACTCCAAGTAGGAATTTGGGTGGAAAATTGATATTTTTCATGAAAAATAAATGTAATCAAACACACCCTAAAATTTTATAATTAAATAAAAAAATAGATATTTTTCAAAAAAATGAATTAAAAAAAAGCTATAAGAATTCAAAATTTTTTCATAGAAGATAAAGATAAATAATAAGAAAGAAAGATAAATGGAATATAATTAATAAAAAAAAGAAATTTTAATCATAAATGTCAATGGAAGGTTAAAGTCAAGAAATATTGAAATTTTTTTTCGTGAAAGTCCACCAAAATCTCGGGATTGATGAGAGACAAAATTTTAGAATATTTATTACTTAAAAGTTAGTACTCCAAATATTTTTATAAAAACATTTAAAAATTATTAAAATTTGAATCCAATTTTTAGAGGCTTCTAAAATTTTTTAATTAAATATAACGTTAACTTCTATAGAAATATATAGTGACTTTTTCTTTTTTTACGGAATCTCAAATAAATCCCATGGATTCAGTGCACCCCTTAGTTGGCAAATTTTTTTGACCGATCGATCTAGCCATCCAAAGTTCAGCTGACAGTGCACCGGACTCCATCCCGCCGGCAGTCGCAGGCGGTGAGGATTCCACCTGCCTCCGATTTCTCTCTTTTAGTTTTCTCTCTCTATCTCACTTTTTTTTTTTTTTTTTTTTTTTTTTTTTGGTTTTTTTTTTTTTTTTTTTTTTACTTTTTCGGAATTTTTATTCATATTTGCCTACTTTTTATTTGGATGTTCTATTGAAATTGATAGTTTAGATTTTATTGGATCTTTTTTTTTTTTTTTTTTGAAAGTTTTTAGTTTAATCCTTTTTTTTTTTTTTGGCCCCTGGGAAATTCAGTGTTCAGTTTGAAACTTAGTTTTTTGGGGCTTAACTCTGAATCTTATTTACAGTTTTCAAGTTTTCTGCTCGAGGCTTCCAATTTTGATTAGTTATTTTGGTTCTTACAATTTGGTCCATTTCTCAGTTCCCATTTCAGGTACTTCGCCGTTCCCAACTTTTTTGAGGAAAAAATTAGTATTCATTTTGGTATATGTGGATTTATGATCAGTGATGTATGTTGGATCAAGTGCACAAGCCTGCTTGGATCATTATTCTTGGCCCTTTTTATGTAGAACACAAAGATAAACAACACTTTGTAATATTTCAATGAGTTTTATAAAGTACACCATTCATTGATCAGTTTTGTTGATTAAGAATAATCCCAGAAATATGATCTGATACTTATTTTGTAGTCATGGATAGCATTTTTTCGGGGAGACAGAATATATATTATAATGTAGAAATATATGTAAACCTTTTATTTAGATCACTATCTAGATTGAGAAAATAAAAGAATAATTTATCGACCATGGTAAAATAAACAATATAGATAAAGATAATTGAGAGTATCTAGATGAAAATTCGAGATTCTCAACATGAGCTAAGAAAATAATGAAAAGTTGAAGAAGCTCAAGCACTATTCTTTGCCTTTGGGGAAAAAATGTTTATCTATGTTTTTTATCGGAAATGTGGCTTCACACCTTTTTAAAGCTATTTTCCATTGTAAATGAGATCAACTAATTACATGGATTTTTACATCAAAAGTGAAAGATAAAAAAGAGGGCTAAATCATTTGATTGCAACTTTGGTCTCCAACGTTTTTGGAATTTATATACCATTCATCAATTTTAGTAGCAATTCCCTTTTTTTCTTTCCCAGGAAGGGGCTACATCTAAACAAGAAATCTGTGAAGGAAGAAAGAGGTACAGAAAAAATGCATGGGATATACCGTAAAACCCCAAGTCAAGAAGAGCAAGAAGCTTCAGCCCTAAAAGCCATTGAACTTCGTGATCTCCAATCTCAGTTCCTTCACCTACATCACAATAAAATGTCAGTAATCATTTTGGTATTTGTTATCTATAATCTGTAATTTTTGGGGATCGACTGATTTTATTTTCTAAATTGCAGATATACAAAAGAAGCTTTAGAAACAAGTGCAAAGCTGTTAGAAGTGAATCCAGAGCATTATACTGGTTGGAATTACCGAAAACTTGCCGTACAACACTTTCTTAATCACCAGTCAGAGACTGAAGCTGATTCCGAGTCCATCCAATCAGTTCTAAATGAGGAATTGAAAGTTGTAGGTTTTCATCCACTTTCCACTTCAGTTGTTTTATGAGAATCAAGTATGTCTTGGAAAATTAATTTGTATTCTCTCTGATTTTAAGTTTACAATATGTGTTTCTATACTATTAATTCATTGTGCAGCCCAATAATCACTTAGTGTGAATTTTCACTGACTTGAAAATGCATTAAATATATTGATTGTTCTCCCGATTAATCAGGTAGTGTGAAATTTTGTTAGGTAGAAAATGCATTGAAGAAGAATTTTAAGTCTTATGGTGCTTGGTATCATCGTAAATGGGTTCTGAGCAAGGGGCATTCTTCCACGGACAACGAATTGCGTCTTCTGGGCAAGTTTCAGAAGTTGGACTCCCGGAATTTCAATGCCTGGAACTACAGGAGGTTAATAACTGGAATTTTGATTTCTTGGGAGTTAATTGATAGTTGCATTTGTTGATGTTATCTATTTGGGCCTCTATTTTCAGGTTCATAACGATGTTAAAGAAGATATCAGATGAAGAGGAACTGCAATACACTACAGATATGATATACGATAATTTTAGCAATTATTCTGCCTGGCATAACAGAAGGTATTAATAATACATCACTCCTATTTGCGTTAGATTTCTATAATCTATTTATATGAGCTCTGTGAACCATGTGTAACACACACTTAGTTCTTTATCTTAGTGGAAAATACTTATTTTATTGCATGTTTCCAGTTTTTGCGTCATGGAATGACTGCTTGATTATTAATCTTCGAAATTGTCAGGTAAAAAACACAAAAAGGAGAGAATAAGAACTACCCATTGTTTTTTAAAGCTCTTTAAGCTTACACCTTAAGGCCCATCTCACATAAACACCATTATTAAGCGCCTCAAACCTTACATTTTTAGTTTCATTTATCAAGGTTAAAGCCACGACCTATGCATGCCTCAATGCATATGACTTTGAACAGCTGAAACATGTACTCATTTGTCCTGACCTTTTGGGACATTTTATTATCATGCCAAGCTTTCTAAGCTGATTATTTTGTAGTTAGAGCATTTTAAGAATTTTTTGAGCTACTTTAAATGCAGTTGAACATCTAAAACTAGAAATATAAAAAATGGAATATAGAGAAGGGAACAAGTGCAGCAGGCATGTTCCAGCCTCAACTGAAGTGCGATAAACCCTCCCAAGTAAAGTTGTAAGTTTATGGTGTCAGATTACCGATGGCAGGATACCTACAGCGCGTAGCTTCACTTTTTTCTTTCTTTTTATAGTATCTTTTTTCTGTTTTCTTTTTTTCTTTTCGCCCTTCCTTGGAATTCATTTGTTTCATAGTCAAATCTAGCAACTCGTTTTAGACTTTTAGTCCTTGTCCTGGATTAATAGTACAATGCATGTTTTCTTTCCAGTGATTAACATTTAGTCAAAGTTATGGTATTGCAAAGATGTAAATGTAATATAATTGTTTCTATTATTTGATTATGGAGATCGATAGGGCACTAAGTGTATAAAGTCATTTTTTTAAGTGTAAGATTTTCAAAAAGCACAAGCTGCTCAAAGCTTGCAAGCTCCGTCGGATAGTTTTTTAAGTTGAGCCTGATATCAGTATAAATCAACCCCAATTTTAAGCTTATGGTTCAGGGTTGAGTCTACATTCAAGCATACCATGATTGAGGGTAGACTTGATTTGAACTAGATAAGAGTATGTTTATTGGCCATTGTTAAGTAGCTTTGTCTTACTTCCTTAGTCTCTTATCACATTTTACGAACTCCCACGTACGTGTAGGTATTGAGCCATTAAGTCAAACACAGTTTAAAGCATCAAGATATGATATTCATTGTGGTGTAAATTATTTGATTTATGAGCTTGAGCTAGATCAAATTCATTCTGAGATCATTTTTCAAGCCGAGCTTGGACTGAAAAAAGCTTGATTGACAACCCTATCAATGCAAAGAATCTCTTTGGTCATTAAAGTTAGTAGATTTTACTTCCTATGATAAAAATTATTTTAGTCTCCAATACAATTAATTGTTTTATGTGCTATACTTTATTTTATTCTCCTCAATTTTTTCACCAATAAATTTGCAGTGTGCTTTTGTCTCATCTATTCAAGAAAAGAGGAGAAAGACAGAGTCACAAAGAGAGTGTTTTGGAAGAGGAATTTGAATTTGTACGTAATGCTCTATTTACAGACCCGGATGATCAAAGCGGTTGGTTTTATCATCTTTGGCTTCTGGATCAAACAGTTAAACTGGAACCTTTCCTACTTTCTTCGTGGCCTCCTCATGGCTCTAGTAGATCAGTTGATTACTTAGATGGTTGTAATTTATTTCCAAGCATGCATTCCCAGTCTAAAGATAGAATGTTTCCACTCGTACTATATTTCAGCGAACCAGTTGAAGGTGTAAACTCTTCTACCGTCACCATTGAATGTGAATACTATGCTAATGAGGATGTTATTTGGAGACCACTTTCAGCAAATAAATTTGGTTTTGCCCAAGTATGGTTAACTTACCTAAATTTACCTGATGAAGTGCACTCTCTAAAGGATTGCCATTTAAAAGTTTTCGTAGCCCAGTTTCCGGGTATCGTTTCATCGAGTGGTTTCTCCTGTAGTCAGACTTCGCATATAGTGTTCTCACTGTGTGTACCTTCCCATGATCGGGAACATGCAGAGGGGCAGACCGTACCGAGATTTTCATGGAAAGATAAAGAATTTTACTCACATGCTACACAATCTCATGATGCAAGCTTGCTACGCTCACTTCATCAATTAAAAATCGCCGAGGAGAGTAAATCAAAGGCTGCTTCTGATTGGAGTATGAAGATTATATCCAATGAAATTGCTCACTGTCGGGAACTATTGTCATCAACAAACTGGTTAGCTGGATTCTTTTTTTGAGAAACATGGGGTCTATAGAGAAGATAATCCATTTAGTAACGTTGGTAATTTTTCTTTTCTTTTCTTTTCTTTTTCCTGTAGTAAAATTGGGAAACTGACTCTTGCAAGACTGCTGATGGCACAAAACAAATTGATCTCATATGGTATTCCAAATGATGGAATTGAGGTCCATTACGAAGAAATTCTTGGACTGTATCATGATTTGATGAAGTTGGACCCTGTACACATTTGTTACTATGAGGATGAGTCCAGCTTAGTCCTATTAAAACAGGTGACTCACGTTTTCTTGGCATTGCTACTCTTGGAATGCCATTGTCACGTGTAGATATATTGTTTCATGTTGTGTTTGTTAGGTACTTCTTGTTTATTAAATCTGGGACCATAATCTAGCTGTTAGATATAGAGTAAAACATGTTTATTGAGCATTAAGGAGTTACAACCCATTATATATAAATTATTAGTTCTTGGATTTTCCAAGCTTTAGATTTTGCAAATTGGCCTCTTAATATATTTCTGTTTGACATGCAGTCATTTATTGTAGAATTTAAATGGAATTCAAGTTCAAGCTCAAATTTATTTGCATGAAGAGATCACAGCTTCTTTGTTTTTTTAATTATTGAGTTTATATATACTACTTGCAAGAATGAAGCTGGGGGATACATGAATTGTGGTTAGGAAAAAGATGTATTCCAAGAATTGACTATTTGCAGTTTTTGGTTGAGATAAGACCAATAATGCTGTTCGTGGGGGGTGATATCATGCTGTCTGAATCAAATATCATGAATTCATCCATTATTTTGAAAATTTTTGGTCCAATAATGTGTCCTTTTATACTGTAACGTCATGCAGTGTTTTATGATTTTCAATTTTACATTACAGATTCTTTTCAGGTGTAAGTTGCGTAAGATCATGTCTTAGATGGATAGCAATCAATATGGAGAAGAACTTCAGATAATTGAGTGATTGTTTTGCAGGTGACTTCCAGTATGGAATCTATTCTGAGATACTGCTATCAATATGGAGATTCAACTTCACCAAGAATGTATTCTTGTTTATGTTTACGGCTCAATGGCCTTTTGTTATCGCAAATTGGGAGTGTCGAGCGATTATTGTGGATTCAAATTTTAGATCTCAGCCACAACAAAATCCGATCAATTGAAGGTAATTGCTTAATACACATATATATTGATCTTTTAAATACATGGATCATTGATCTATCATTTTCAATATTTAGTTACAAGCTGTGTAATGGTTTGAGATTATCTACATTGTTATATGAGATATCCACCTAACAAAGGAAAAAGAGGAAGAAATTCTTTCACCTGAGCTGCTTTCATCTTTTCCAGATGTTTTATTTTCTTCGACAAGAGGCAATATTTTATTGTCATAGGTTGAATTATACTATACCTATCACTCGTCAAATAGTTCTCAGTCATCTGTCTTTTCAGTTGTGTTATACGATCACAATTATCATATACGTTGATTTGAATACTTGTATTCAAAATGCTTTTTGTGAAATCATAGGTTCGACACATGGAGGCATTGCAATCCTAATGAGGAGATCACATCCCAAAATTACCGACTTGGTGGATGTAAATTTGGGAAGTTGATTGATATTCTTGGATAAATATTAGTTTACATTTGGTTCGATGCTACATCCATAAAAGACTCAAAACGATTAGATCCTTACAAAACTCATAATTGCTTGGAATAAGGGGGTTGGTTTGTTACCGTTATTTTGAGTTATATTTTCTCTAATTTTTTATCCTAGCAAGCTTTTGTTCTTGGTGGGAAGTTTTGCATGTAAATAGGATTACTAGTATAGTATGTTGAATAAGTTAGACATCGACTTGTGATATTCAGTACTCCCATTCTCTCTTTCTATTCACGTTTCTACATAATGTAATGATATTTTTGCTATGCATCTTCCCACTCATGACTAACCTTTATGCCTGTTAATACTAGTGAGGAAATGAAGAAGTCGTATTTCTCTTTTTATTCGATTCTTTGACAGGATTGGAGGCTCTGCAATTGCTTTCTTGCTTGAACCTTAGCAACAATAAAATTTGCAGTTTTACTGCATTGGATCCCTTGAGAAGCTTGAAATCATTGAAGGTATTAAACATTTCATACAATGAGATTGGTGCTCACGCTGTCAACACAAGAAGGTATTTATGCTCGTCTCCCATGACACACACCGTCGAAAATGATTGGAATTTCAAGGAATTTACGAATTCAGGTGTCAAGTTGAATAATCACTGGGACGTGTTTTTTATTTTCCGAGACTTGAATTTGATACAATTAGATATAATGGGAAATGCAGTTGTTAATGATCAGTTGAAATCATTTCTGTTTAAGTTAATGCCATCACTGAAGTGGCTTGATGGTGAGAATCGTAATTAGGTTTTACTTAAAAATGATGCAGGTTGAATTCTGTTTATATGGGTTTCATTTTCTTCCATTCTATAGTGCACATGCTGCATTCTTGGATGTATTTACCTAAAAACCCTGTTTCTGCATTAACTTTGATGGTGATAATTGCTTGTATTTTATTAAAATTTTTGAAATTTTATTCAATCTATTTCGTAACGTTGTACAATTAACATCTTCCTGTAATTGAATGTGTCATCGAATGTTATCTTGTATCTTGCACAAAAACGAAATTATACTCTAGATTAATTTATAAATTCAATATTTCTTTAGCCCTCTAACGATGAATGTAGTACACACTTCATATGCTACATGAAGTTTTATAGAATGCCACGTGACAATATTTTATTGAATTTTGACCCCCAAAAAAAAAAAAAAAATGTAGCAAAGAGAAAGGAACAAAGTTGTAGTACATTTGATTTATGCAAGTTTCGTTGACACGCTGCACTTTCATTTGTTAACAAAATTAATAAGGTTGTAAACAGAAGGACGAGGATTACATTTGGCAATCAAAGAGTGAATCTTTGATGTTACAATTCCTTTATCTTCACTCATGTCAATTTTCCCAATCTTTTCCCATTCGAAACATTGTATTAGAGACCCCAATGCCAATTCAACTACACGCATTGCCAAATTTTCACCGGGGCATGCCCTTCGACCCCATCCGAATGGGAAGAATTTCAACTCATCTTTCCCTCGAAAACCTTCAAATCTCTCCGGCTTGAATTTTTCAGCATCCACCCATTTTTCGTCATCGTTTTGAACAGCCCATACATTTACAAATAATAAGGTTCCAAGTGGAACCCGGAAACCACCGACTGTGCATTCGCCCGATGATACGTGAGGCAAGAGGAGGGGCAGGGGTGGGTGGAGGCGTAGCGTTTCGTTAACAATGCAACGGAGATAGGGAAGTTCAGCTATGTCTGATTCGTCGATTAGACGTTCTTTTCCCACGAGAGTGTCAATATCATCTTGTGCTCTTCTTAAAATGTAAGGATTGTCAAGCAAGTGTGAAAATGCCCACTCCATTGTCACTGATGTAGTATGAGTTGCACCATGGACTAAAACCTGTTAAGAATGCATAATAAAGTGGATTATTTACTTATGAGCAAGTTATTTTAAACTTAACCAAACATGTTTTAAATAAGAAATGGATTTGGACGGAAATTATAGTTTCTGAGGTTCTTACCAAGAGGAGGTTTCTGATAGTTTCATCAGAATAGTATTCTGGTTCTTCTCTCTGCAAATCCAGTAATATTTGTAATGTACTTTTCTCCTTTACATTATCATCTTCCAATACAATACTACGATGTTCTTCGATTATATTCTGCATAAATTTGTCTCTCTTCATCTGTATTAATTTCATCTTTTTCTCTGTATTCTTAAATCCAAACCATTTCATAAATGGCAAAAAATCCTCTACATTTGCCTCCATTGTCACCCTTGATATCTCACTTGTTATCTCCCGAAAAATCTCTGCACCAAGCTTGTAATTTTTCCCAGTAATCATCCTTGTTATCACATTAAACATAAATTCAAACAAAATCCATTTGAATTCTACAGCTTTATTCGGATTATCATTGGCAAACCGAACGAATTTACGAATAAGAATTCGGGCTTCATCGGCCTGAATGTTGGAGTTCATCTTTACCTTGTGGGAGGATAAGAGGTGAAGAGATGAAATTCTTCGAAGGTTTCGCCAGTGATCACCGTATGGCGACCAAGCTAGGCTAGTGTAATTGTATCCAAATACTTTTCCATTGAGGAGATTGGGGCGATTAGCGAAGATAATGTCATTTTTGGTGAAGCATTCTTGGGCAATTACTGGAGATGACACGATGAGGGCTCGTCTGGAGCCTAACTGCAGAAAAACCACGGGGCCGTATCTCTTTGAGAGCTTGGAGAAAGCTCGATGTAGTGGCTTTCTAGTAATGAATAAGTAGAGGTGACCAAGAAATGGAAGGGATGGAAATGGAGCAGGAGGAAGATTTTGAATCCTGTGAAGAAAATATAGGCGGACGTTGTACAGAAATAAGAAGAGTATAGGAAGAACATAGAAATACAGATTGTCCATCAATGGAGGAAAATGGGTTACAGAAATTTGAATATTGAAAATGAATAGATAAACAAAAGAAACCGGAAGTATTACAGCATGAAAGCCACGTGTTATTGACTTTGCAGATGTTATGCCAGATGGTGAAGATGAACCCAACAGGTGGCTGGATGCATGGAAAACAAAAGAGGCACTGGCACCACCTGGCCGAATAGTTGCCAAGTTCCGGTCCAAGTGACAATAGACTTATTGTCTCATTGAATTACGTTACTTGTACAAATTTTATTTATTTTTTATTTTTTTTCACAATCTTGGTTGACAACGCACACTTGTTAACATCAAGTTTATCCATTTTAAAGATTTTATTTTTAAATCAATGGTCTAAATTTCAAGAACAACTCTACACGTACAGAAAAATGCTTAACACAATTGCACCATGTTTCGCGCGGGTTAGTCGCTAACAACTAAAAAGGATCAAACGATTGTGTAAGGGACGAAACCTCTTGAGACAAAGTCCCAAAAAGGGGTGTTCTTTTATTGGCGATGAACTTTACAATTGGAAGTGAAAAACAACGTGCCTCCAAGAGGCGCAAGCACACGAGTTACTGAAAGAAAATTGTTTAAGTCTAAAAAACTAAGGAAATGAAAATTACATGTTCTCTGTTTGAGAGTTTTTGATTCGGTCCTGCTTCTATGTCCTTTCTCCCTTTTATACTTCATGGACGATCTCTTTGTAATTAACTACTTTGAAAACTGCTTGATCGTCCTATAACTACCCACTTTCTTCGTAGTGGCCATTTTGTCATAAAAACTGCCTTTTAACTGCTGCCATTACCTTTCATCGTTCAACCGCTTTCGATTGAATTCCTTGAGTCGTGGAACGTGATAGGGCTGCTTTAACAACTGCCTTGATAACTGCATTTCTTGATAACCACGACGCGTTATGTCTGTTGATACCTTGGGCGACTTGAAGGTTTGGGCGAGAATAGAATAACAGCTCTGGGCGACCGTATGACACTCTATTCGTTCAGATTTTGGGCGACTTGCAAACTTGGGCGATGGCGTTACAACATTCTTGGGCCCCCTTATTTGGGCCTTCACCTTGATTTGTTCGATTGGATTTCGTTCTTTGGGATATCTGATTTGGGGATCCTCCAATCGGGCTTTACTCCTTGGGCCGTTCGATTTGGGCTGAATTTTTATGTGTCAAAAATTACCCCCCAATATGGCAGAATTAATAATAATTATTGAATTTTACCATATTCACTTTGTGTTTCCAGCAACGTTCGAAATTCCCAAGAATTTCAATCATTGTTTCTTTCTATAACTTGAAAAGGTGTGTCGTTTTGCAAACCCTTATAAACCCCAAACACGCCATTTCACTGCTACCAAACCATGCCTCATATTTTTTGCGTCTCTTTCACGATTCACTGTTCATCTTTTGCTTCCTTGTTACGTAACCCTGAAAGCTTCGTTCCTTTTCCAATGGCTGCTTCACAATCTCAAGCTAGCGACTCCTTTAGTTTTGATAACTTTCAGAGACTTCTGAGTCGCCCATACATAACCCCAAGTTTTCTCGCACCCGCCGACGTTGGACGTAATGAGTTCTACTTGGGTCCTTTCTTCAACAATGCAGAGGCAGTTGAACAGGCGACCGTGGGTCAGCTGTTTCCCTGCACTCAGGGTCCTCCATTCCTGAACTCTCTACCGCTGGGGCCACTTCGCGAAAGAGGTATTCGCACTTGGCCTAAATCTGATGTAGCTTTTCGTAGGTGACATGCTCGCCTTGTGGGTCATGGTCCTACTAAGTCACTTTTTGATAGCGCTAGGATTTCTGATTTGTTAGAAGTCTCTATTCGTCCCCCTACTTTTGATTCAGCGCTCTTTTCGATTGCTTTGAGTTTTTGGTCCCCTGAGTATAACACCTTTATTTTTCCTCTTGACCCCATGTCTATTACGTTAAGGGATGTTGGAGCCCTGGTGAATCTACCACCTTTGGGCAATACCATTTTCCCAGGTATCTTAGTTTCTGGTGGAGCACCAAAGTTTGGTAAAAACTATACCGACTCTTATTCAAGCCTGCAGACCCTCCACAATCATTCGAGTGCTGAGCCTACCCACACTGAGCGAGTGGCCTTCCTTTTAGTTTGGCTTTGTAAATATGTTTTGTGCGTGCCAAGTATAAAGCTTTCTCTGAGTTATTTACCCATAGCGCACGAATTGACGCGTGGCAGGCCTTTGAATTTATGTTTTTTGTTTTTGGCTGCCCTTTATAGAGGCATGGCCTCTCTTCGAGCTCAATTGAAGAATGATGCATCTCCCACTGGCAGTGGACCTCTTTGGTTTACTCAATTGTGGTTGAGATCCTATTTTCCATCGCTTGGTGCTCCATCCATTTCTCGTCCTTCTGCTAGCTGTTACGGGCTAGCTATGGAGCCCCTAACTCCTGTAAATATGTCCAGAAGGGACATTTTTTCATTCTTTTATTCTTTAGATTCAATCTCTTCCTTTTTTCCTTTTCCTCCTTTCTTGACTCCAAACTATGTACATCCCCCTTCCACCATAGATAGCGCGAGCACCTCCCTGCTCATTTGGATTCAGTTTTTAACCGGGAGGGAGCTATTTCATGATATTCTAACTGGGACTAATGCCAAGGCAGGGGTAGAGATTTATGCTCCCCAATTTTTTGCTCGCCAGCTTGGTTTTGGCCAAACTTGGCCTGTTCCTCCTTGCTATTCAAAGAATTTAGTTGACCGTTTTCACACCATTACTAAAGCGGAGGCAGAGGCTATAGATGCTCGTAATCTCCTTTTAACCAGTCATTTTTCATTGGCCCCTTTCAATTCTAGCCACACCATTCACCCTCTTTTTGAACAATTCTGGCCATCGGTAAAGCGCAGATTGTTTGCGATTGAGGCCAATCGTGCCTTTCATTCATTAGACCAACCGAGTATTTCTTCTCCTCCTCCTGTTTTGGTCACTCCTTTGTCTATTCGGAGCCCCTCTCCTTCTCGTCGCACTAAACAATCTGCTCGTCCATCTTCTTCCCTCCCTGCCAAGCATACTACGGCCAAGAGTGCTCCAAGCCGCAAACGGCCAGTCTCAGCATCTCCCATTCTGGAGGATGATGTCGATGATGATGATGATGCTCCTCTTATTGTCAGGAGGAAGGTAATTAAATTGGTTTACTTACAAGTATACTTTTTCACACTTGAAACTTTTCTGTGTGCTAATGATCTTTTGGATTTCTCAGAAAAGTTCAGCCTCTCCTTCAAAGGCTTTGACATCGACAACTCCTGCCCCATCATCTTCTGCTGAGACTACTTCATCCAAACCGGTTGATGAGGGGGCTACGCTTAAAGAGATATCTTCAGTCCCAGAATCCTCATCACAACCCATGGATGAGCCACCTTCTTCGCAGGGCGTCAACCCCCCAAACATCGAAGCAAAAGGTAATTCAGTTTTTTTGATGTCTTACCTTTGCTCGTGCTATTGGTTTCTGATTTGTTGCTCTTGAGCTTTGCAGATACTCCTATGAGTCCGCCCGTTGTGGCAACATCTTCTCGCCCGGACAAGGGGAAGTCCTTACGAATGGATGAGTCGTTGGTGGCAAGCTTGGCTGAAGGCGCGCCATCTTCTACGATTGTCGACGAGGTAGTTTTTTGCTTCACTTCTATTTCCACTTTGTTCGTTGTAGTGAGGATTTTCAATATTGGCAGTCTTCTTTGCAGGATGCTGACAGGATTGTGCGGTCTATCCAAGACTTGTTCGCTTCCTGGGGGCAAATTCAGATGTTTCGCCCTGCTCCATCCGATCGTCCTGCTGCTTCTTCAGAGGAAGACTTGAAGTTCCTGAAGGAATTGATATTTGAGTACGTATCCTTCATGGATATGGATATTGGAAGGGCTAGTGCTGCCAGGCACAAGGATGAACTTGAGCACTTGAGTGCGAAGTTGAAGCAAGCATTGACGCTTCCGTCGCTCAATCTTTCTGCCGATTTTAAAGCGATGTTGAAGGTTATCCACTCCGAGGTCCTTTTTATGCTGGCCAAGAATACTGAACTAAAGGCCAAGCGTACTCAATATCTTCGAGCCGTAGCTGAGAAAGAGTCTTTGCGTATGGAGATTAACAAGGCTGAGGACGAGTTGAAAGAAATCTCCTCGGAAGTCATGATTGAAGACTCTTTGATGGTTAACTTGGCTGCTCAAATGAGGGAACTTCAAGCTAAAATGGACGACTGCAGGGTGAGGATGGCTGCTAAAAAGCGCAACGCCTCCCAGGAAATTGAGCGAACTAAGTCCTTGGTCGAGCAGTACAAGAAGTTGAAGTTGATGATGATGACGTCGCGGTTGAATTGAACATCACTTCCTCTCGACAGAACGAGGATTGGGAAAAACTTAGGGAACGAATTCGTTCTTTATGGGGTAGACTGTAATTAAGACATACGATGTCTTTTTCTTTTGTAATTCGATTTTTCCCTTTGTAACTTTGTTCATCATTAATGAACATTAACTTCTTTTGCATTTATTTGACGTTTATTTTTTAGTCATCAATTCTTTAAGCACTTAACTGCTTTGTACTAAGAATCTTGTCCATTCCCTTTTGATATTCCCACTACTGTTCCCAAAACTTAGGGCTATTTAATTCCGTTTATTAGACAGAAATATGGCTGTTCATATTCTGTCTCTTCATCTTCACCCCCTATAAATGCTTCACATTTTTCATCCTCTATCTTCATCTCTTCATTTTCTTTTTCGAAATCAATTTGCTGTCATTTCTTGGCATTCTGACGATCAACCTGATTCAAAAATGGATTGTTTAGTTCGTCCGCCTTATATTTACCTTGATGTCACCTTTGGTATGGGAGGTATAGGAAATATTTTCTGGCCAGCAGCGAAGTTCTTTCCTGCAAAATTCTTCCCATCGTCTCTTTGTTCTTCACAAGGAGTCAATGATGGGAGGCAATTTTTGGGCTGCTTGTGGGCCACTTTGCTTGCTGAGAGTGCTTCTCAACTTGCCTGCTGAGAG